AAACAAATACCAGCTAGTCCAGTAACGGGGTCTAAGGACCTCAGCACCCGGGTGACAGCCTTTTTGACATTAACGTTGATAGTCACAGCTAGGAATACAGTTCTCAACACTGCCTTTGTTTACACTAAGTGGGCCAGCTATTCCGTGCCCACGGGTATTCTCCAAATCTGGTTTGGGTTATTTTAATGTGATTTCAGAGAAACCAGCGATGCCTCTCTTGTGGTGGTTTAATGATATTGTTGTGCTCAATACTGTCGAATCAGCACCTTCAAAATAGAAGCTGAAACTCTTTCTGTGCAGTGTCACTAGGAAAGAGCTGAAATACCAGTTCATACATGAACATATTTTTTTGCCACAAAATTAAAAATGAATCACTTGTCTCTGTTCAGAAATTTAACTTGGAGATGTTTCTCAAGTCTCTCTAGTAGCGCTGCCTACAGCTAGTGATAAAGTTGTTGTTACTTTTGTTATTGATAAACATCAAAACCTGATTTTTTTTTTCCCCCTCTAGGATCCCCCGCCCTGACTGGAACTGGAACAATCAATGTCATAGTAGATGATGTCAATGACAATGTCCCCACTTTTGCCAGTAAGTTGTATTTCACCACAATTCCCGAAGATGCACCGACGGGAACGGACGTCCTGTTGGTCAATGCTTCGGATGCCGACGCCTCAACCAATGCAGTCATCAGGTCAGTACCTTTTCCTCTGTAAATTCTGATTATTTTTCTCGTTAAACATTAGTCTTTGCACTGAATGAGCACGATGCTTCATTTTGCCGGGAGTGTCATCATATTAACGCGGCTCTCTGTTGGATAACCAGTTATGCCTGGCGATGATTCAGTGAATGGTTTATTTTGTTTGTTACTAATTTCCTATTTAAGAACTCACTTTGGGAAACTGGCCGTAATTAGTCTCTTTCTGCTGGCAGAGATGATTGAGTCAGGTATGAGGCCTCAAGGTATTTTTCATTAAGTAAACATTGGGTCACTAGTATGAATAACAAGATAAAGTTTCCATTTTCTTTGAGCCTGCATTTTTTTAGGTAGATGTACAAGTAAATGTAAAATAAATAAGATTACTTCATATAGTGAGGACAGCCTTGAAAATAGAACAGGATGGTAATGAGAGAGTGACAAGGGACTTTTCGGTATAAGTATTGTGGATGGCCTCTCGGGAGGTGGCCTTTGGGCTAGAGGTACGGGGCTGTTGGCTGGAAGTCAGCCTGGTGTGTTTAATTGGGGAGGCTTGTGCGTCTGGACCAGAGTGAGGAAGGGGTCAGGGAGGTGGGCAGGGGCTGGACCATGTAGACCACATAAGGACCTTTAGGTCATGGTGAAGAATTGCGATTTTAAATTGTATTTTCAGATGGGAAACTATTGATGGATTCCCATCAGGGAACAACATACACTGATCTGTATTTGGATTGGATTGGAGGAGGCAGGACTGCAGAGAGAGGCTTCAGAGAGAGACCAGTGAGAACATTTAGGTGCTAAGAATCATAGTGATTCAGACAGAATGGGGATCTAACCCAAACCCGGGCTTGTGCTCTGACAGGGAATGGAACCGGCGACCTTCTGGGGCATGGTCCGGTGCTCAACCCCCTGAGCCACACCAGCCAGGACTGTTTTGTTCTTAGTACAGGTCTTCCTTGCACAGTGTCTGCAGCGTAATAGCAACTGGCACCTAAATGAATGTGTTGAATGGGTGATTCTAATATTTTTGGGAACTTCTGCATTTACTCACTTTTTTCCTCAACATTTTTGAGAGGGTAGATCACTACCTCACATTTTCTCCAGCGATTTTTTTCTGAAAATCTTTCAATATGACTTCCCTCCATTGCTTTACTGAAAAAAGACTCCCTCTGAAGATTCTACTGAAATTTACCAGGAGCAGTGACTTTTCCTGAGTCTTTTTTCTCTTTACCTATTGCAATATTTGCACTGCAGGTCTGCCTTTCCTTTTTGGCATTGTTTTCCTCCTCAATGTCTATGTAACTGTTACTTCTTATTTCTCACTTTGGGTCTCTGACGGTATCTTCTAAGTTGCCTTCTAAATCTCCTCTTTCTCTTTTTACAAAGTAATTTGGACATCCCCCAGAGCATTTTTTTAGTCTTTTTCTCCCTTTCTCTCTCTCTCTCTCAGAATGAGAACACATTTCCATCACTGCAGCTGGGCAGAACACTACTCAGAAATGTAGACAACTTCTAAATTTATACTATCAACTCTGACTCTATCCCAGACATTCCGACCCATATTTATAACTCTCTAGAAGACACTTCTACCTGGCATCTGTTGGCATCATAATCACAAAATACCAGAAACTTCTCACCAATCCTGTTTCTCATCTTGGCTTTAATCTTTCTCTTAATGATGTTGCCTTGCCTTCTTCATCGACACTTGATGGCTAAGGGTCTTCCTCTCCCCTATGCTCAGTGGACAAGTTCTCATGTTTCCCCCTTTCTAATGCCTCTGGCACCCATTCTTTTCTGTGCATTCCTCCTGCCAAGATTCTGGTTCAGTCCATAATTACATCATGCCTGGACTATTACAATAAAAATTAACTTACTTTCCTGACTCTGTTTCTAATCCCTCCAATCTATATACTACACTATACTGTATAATTTTGGAGCTCTTACTATGTCCCAGGCACTTTGTTAAGTTCTGAGGAATTAGGCACTCCAGATCCCTTAAGGAGAAGGTAGTTTTTTAATCTTGTAATTGTTGTACTTTATAGCAAGCACAGTTTAAGCACAGAGGGTGGAAAGAACAGCGTAGTCAGTGTGACCTAAGGAAATCAATAGAAGCTCAAGTAACTGATGATTTGGGGGAAAGACAGAGACATAGTTAATGGACAAATAAGGGATGCAAGGCATTCTAGACAGAGGCAATAACAGGTACTAAGGCAAATCTCAGTCTCCATATTGCACTCACTGCATAATTCAGCAGCCTGCCTCAGCATCTTCCCAAGCTTATTCTGCACAAATCCCCCCACGTATAGCCGAACTTTCAGCCTCACTGGATGCTTTCTCACCCTGGGAAAAGGATCCATGCTTCCCCCGGCCTTATGGCTTTGTTCAAGTCCTTCTAGATCCTAGACCAGGGTTCTGCAAACTGCAGCCTGCAGGCCAAATTCAGCTCTGTGTCTGCTTTTGTAAATAAAGTGTTATTGGAGCATAGCCACGCCCATTCACACACTTACTGTCTGAGGCAGCTTTGTACTAAACTGAGTATTGCAACAGAGATCTTACGGCCTGCAAAGCTGAACAGATTTACTAACTGGCCCTTTATAGAGAAAATCTGCTGACTCCTGGCCTAGAACACCGTTTCTCTCCCTCTTCAGCATTGTTGTAAGATGGGTAACCCCCTTAAAACGGAGCTTGAAGTTGCTCTACTCCAAAAAAGACTTTATTTTAACCATTCCAGTCAAAGGTGGTCTCTGTCTCCTGAATACCTAGAGCAGTGCTTCTGCACAGTTCCTTAGCACTTACACATACCACCTTGGTTTGTATTTCCTTTCCTATGTACCTTTCTTCCATTTAGGATGTAAGCTTGAGGACAGAATTTTTTACCTACTTACCCATGTCTCTATTAGTCCATCTATCTACTTAACTAAATATATAGATGGATTATAATAAATTATAACAGGTCCTCAAATAGCATCGTTTTGTTCAAGGTCATTTCATTATAGCGTTGATGAGATGTCCTAGGAACCTAACTCCTGTTTATGTCAGGTAGCCTGCGGTAAAATAGTTTTGTTCTTCATTGTTTTGCTGAAAGTCACAGTTTCCAAGAACCTGTTGATGATGTTAAATGAGGAATTACTGTATCTAGAATAGATTATTATAATTATATATGTATATAGTCTATGTTTATGTAAGCCTACACTTTGATTTATTGTCATGTGTTAATTATATTGACAAGTGATTATATGAAATCACATTTAATACCCAGAACTACCAAATGAAAGGAATCCATATGTGATCAACATTTTATAGATGGCAAGAAAAGGCTTTGAAAAGTTAAGAGATTTTATGAATGTAAGTGCCATGAGTGAGGTCTAAGTCATGCCCCAGTGAACTATTCCTAAGTTACCGTGTTCTGGCGGCACAGGGTGCAGTGCCTTATGATGCCAGTAAATCTCGGGGAGAGGCAAAAAAGTTTAAAAAATCAAATGGGGATATTTTAGTTTTATAATCACAGCAATGATGGATTTAGATACTAGGTAACAATTATCTCAGTTTATGCCAGTAATTTGAGACAGTATTTTCTTATTCTTGAATTGAAAAATAAATGAACACATTTGTTGATTTGCATTGGACGGAATCATCATAAGTCAACTCCACACTGACACAGCTTGAGCGAGAGGCGCTTATGGCCTTAGCAGGGAAGGTATGGATTGTAGTCTTCACTGCATTCCCTCAGGCTGTTTAATTTTCTTTATACTGTAGTGTAATGGAAAAGGTGCCTGTTGGAGTCATAAAGACAAAGTTCAAACTCTAGATCTACCATTTATATATAGATTGTATTCTTCTTGGTGCAGTTCTGTTGTCTCCCTGAGATTCAGGTTCCTCATCTATAACAAAACCCCAAACAAAAGCAGACTCTTAGGGTTGTCCTGAGGTTAAGGGATGCACACATCAGATGTCTTGTATGTGGACACTAAGGGGTGCTGCAGAACGTGAAAGAACAGCATAGACGTTTGGATGTTAAGAAAGTAACACAAGACACAATCTGATAGTTTATAATTTTAAAAGAAATTAATGTGGAGCAGAGAAGCAGGAGAGATTTCCACGAAAAGATGAGAACTGAAGCCAGACTCAGGTAACAGAGGTAGGAGAGCCTGGGCAAGTTAACTCCGCAGTTTACCCATTTATATTGCCACTTGTGTTTCTTCTGTCTCTTTATTTTTTTAACTTACAAGTGTAAATTTGCTTGAAACTGCTATTATAGATATCATGGGATATTATGGAATGCCTCATATTTAAAATACACTTTTCATACACTTCAGAATCAAATAAAGTCTAAAAAAAATAATCACTTATTAACTACTTTGTTTTAAAGTAATAAATATATTATTACCTACTTTTATACAGACAATCATATGGACTGTAGCATGTACAACAGCATAAAATAGAGACTAAGAATTTACAGGAAAAGATTCCTTTATGGATTATGTATTTAGGCCTGGACCCGAGCTCACATCATTTGCCGTTCAACACCATGTTCTGTTTTCTAATACGCCACAGCCTTGTCATACACAACACATCCAAATCCAATTTTGCGTGCATTTTCATCATCCTTATTTTTATTTGTGAATAAAAGAACACATATTTGATCGAACCCTGATATTTGTTGTCATAAAGCTGTAAGAAAGTCTGTGGCAGTATGAATCCCTTCTCTTCCTTAGCAAGCTATTAGTGGTTTCTAAATTCACTGATAGAAATGAGGTTTCCCAAAGTAAAGTTGCACAATTTTCATAATCCAGGTTCCTACAGACTTTCTCTCAAAGGTAAGGCGATTTGATTATTTTATGAGTGCTGAATTTCTAACTTTAAGAATTCATTTACAAACCTCGAATATTTTTATTTTGATAAGGGGAATAGATATCCTCTACTGTGATAATACTTTATAAAGAGTCACTTCTGGCCCAGGAAATAGAGCCGGAGCTGTTGACATTCACCCCTGATCCTGGTATGTGGGTGTCTCAGGAGGCCTTAAAAATCTGAGTGAGACCAAATACTTTATCAATATTGAAATGATTTCTCAACAAAATACCCTTTCTCTGTTTTTTTCCTTTTGCTCTAATTTTTTAAATATTTTTTTAATTGATTTCAGTGAGAGGAAAGGCCAGGGAGAGGCAGATAGAAACATCAGTGATGAGAGAGTCATTGATCGGCCGCCTCCTGCACGCCCCCAACTGGGGATCGAGCCCGCAACCCAGGCAGTGTCCTGACTGGGAATCGAACTGTGATCTCCTGGATCCTGGGTCGACGCTCAACCACTGAGCCACACCAGCCACACCAGCTGCTATCATTTTCTGCCTCCGTTTTTGCCTTTATTNGTGTCCTGACCGGGAATCGAACTGTGATCTCCTGGATCCTGGGTCGACGCTCAACCACTGAGCCACACCAGCCACACCAGCTGCTATCATTTTCTGCCTCCGTTTTTGCCTTTATTTTTTTTTTTAATACCAGCTCTCCAACAGTTTACTATTTCTCTAAAGAAGGATGAAAGTGCTGAAATGTGCCTTTGAAACTGTGACTGACCGGGAGGAATGTGCACTCTGCCGGCTGCGACGTGGGTTTTCCCTGCTGTTTCTGGGAGACGCATGCTGTTGCTATGTTTTTCTGAGCGCAAACCAAACTACAGAAACATGCGCTTAGCTCCGGCAAGGGCATTTCTCTGTTGGTCTAAAGGAGAAAGCTTTTAAAGACATCCACTTCTTTGCTACCTCCAACTTTAAAAATGAGGGACCTCAGCCAATTTGTGAACCTTCAAGCTTAGGAACTTCTTTCCTGGCCGATCTCTCGGGAATATACACAGATAGCTTTCCTCTCCAGAAAGGAGAGCGCGCTATTCTCAGTGGAAACTCCTGTCCGTTAACCAGTCTGGTTAGCATCAGAATATCCACGGGGATGCCCTGCCTCTGCCGACTGCGAGAGAGCAGAGCGGCATGGCCATGTGAGGAATGACAAATGAGAGAATTAGTAACTAGGAATGTCTCTGTGTAAATAATCAGCTCTTCAGTTGTTGTGGATCGTCAGTGTGTATCAAATGCAGTGTTTTGTCTTGAAGGAATAAAATCTTCAACTGCTCTTCTCTGGGATATTATGGCACACAGCAGAAAAGTAATTTTTAGATTCGTTTAACAGATGTTCATCTGTGATCCTGGCCATTAACCGCAATATTAGAGCAGTGCCCTGATTTATGCTTTCTGGCTCGTCTGTTTAAAACACAGTGGCCTTCTGGGTACATTTTGGGGTCTTGCGTGATTTAAGAAGCCCACAAAGCTTGCGAGGACCTGCTTGAGGTCATTGTATGTCTCACAATAAAGACTGTCAGTGTGACAGTCACATAACATTTGAAATATTTATCTTCTAGTCATCTCCTTTCACTATTGTGTGATTGGACTTGTAATGTCTTTCGTTACATCTCTGACTCGGTTTTTAAACTGCAGTAAATAGGTGCTAACAATATCATACCTAAAAGGAATCTGCCGTCTCTGCTCTCTGCTTTAGTTATAGGATCACTGGTGGAAACTCTCAGTTCACCATCAACCCATCCACGGGACAGATCATCACCAGTGCACTGCTAGACAGGGAAACAAGAGAGAATTATACGTTAGTGGTGGTTTCCAGTGATGCTGGGTCCCCAGGGCCTCTTTCCAGTTCCACAAGCGTGCTCGTCACCGTGACTGATGTCAATGACAACCCACCAAGATTTCAGCATCACCCGTATGTCACACACATCCCGTCGCCTACTCCTCCAGGTAATCAAACCGACTCTGAGGTCATGGGTAAACAGAAATGATACATTGGACATGTTCTAGAAAATGCAATTATTTTTGCATGTATAGCTTTGATATGGCCTGTGTTTGCGCATCCTCTGAAATTCAACTTATGCCTAACAAAATTAAAGGAACACTGAATCTCATAAATTAATTCTTTCTCCCTTGACCAATTGTGTTTGAGAGTTTTTAATGGCCACATCTTTCCTAGTAGTATTTCTTAGTATGACTTAAATATTGTTAAGTGATTAAAATAGATATGACTTTGTAGTCAGTAGGGTTCTGCCTGGAGATGTAATTTGTGTGTAAGTTCCCTGAGAGGAGGGACACTGTCTCTCTTTTTTTCATGCCATATCCTAGCACCTGAAACATTATCTGGAATTAATAGGAATTCAGCCATATTTGTGGATAGAACATGAACATTTTATTTCAGTGCTTCATAGATAGATTTTTTAAAAAATGTTTAATAAATGAATAATTCTAATTAATTATCATTAATATTATTTATTCCAGTTTTGAGAGATGCAGGTTTGTTAGTAAGTTTATGGAGCCATTAATGAACCCCTTTCATGTTGACAGCATGTATTTTTCATTCTGCATCCCTTTTAGATTTAATTTGGTTGCATTTGCTTTTTTTGCAAAGAATGGCATACTCTCCAGAACTGCACAAATCATTCGCCATCTGCAGTTTTTGAGTTGAATTTTCAAATGGGAATAAACACAACTAAAGACCATGATTCATTTCATCTTCCTTGCTTTAAAATATTTTTAATTAGAAGAAAAAAATAAATGGATCCAGGATTCCTCCTCTCTGTGATCTTTGATCTTTTATGCGCTCGAGAATGTCTAATTAATACCAATTGAAGGTATAATATCCATAAATTTTTGCCAACTTTCTATCAAAAGGAAACGTCGATATCAAAGTCATAACTCCCTGATGAAGGCCCTCAGCTGAAAAGATGCTGGCAGGCATGGCTCTAATCACATCCAGCATATCCAGGATGCGGTGATGCAACATCGCTTCTCCTACGCAAAGTGAGGGATACGCGAGCATCTTTTCCTCATTAGACATAATTAATCAGAATCACTGGCCTCTTTTTTTTTTAAAATAAAAGACTTTACAGTTTTGTCACAGACTCTTTGGTAGGGCTGGAAGTGCAGGTTTGGGAAAGGTTTCTGAATGGGTATATCAAAAACATGTCCTTCTGGCAGCCCCTCTGCATATTTCTACTACAATCTGTTTTATTGGCACTCATCCCAAGCACTAACTTTTGGAATTCACATTGGGTCCATTCTTTCTCAGTTCTCATTTCTCACTATTTTATAATTGTATGAGTTGATTTATAGATTTATATGTATATCTATGCTTATGTTTCGTGTCCATGGGATAATAGCTCACCAATAAAGGAATTTTGCTATGAAACAGTGGGCTTAAGGAATCAACAATAATTTTTTTAAGCATATTATTTTTGTGGATGTGATCACATATATGGTAATTGAGGAATGTTTTAAGACATAAAAGAGCAGCTATCTTTTACATGGGGCAGCAGCACAGCTATTAGCAGAGAGCACGTTAGAGCCATGTGGATTGGAAGTTGTCTGATGTACAGATTTTTCTCTCAGGAACTACAATTCAGAATGATTAGCCATTGCTCTTCCCGTGCTCCTCTCAAGGGCATACTGCAAAATATTAAATCCAGTAGACTGCAGGGGCTCCGGAANTCATACTGCAAAATAGTAAATCCAGTAGACTGCAGGGGCTCCGGAAAACAGCAGGTCAGTCCCTGAAGAATATTGTTAAGTAGATTTGATTTTGAGACTTTAGGGACAATAGAGGGGATGCCGTCCTCCCCCGGTAATTGTGAGAAAATAAAATTACATCAGGTAGCAATATAGTCTTTTATATGCATTAACCTACTACCCAGTGTTCTGCTTGGGCTCCCTGAGATTCTAACTGCATGCCCCCTTTCATAGGTGCCTTCGTCTTCGCGGTGACCGTCACGGATGCTGATATTGGACCCAATTCTGAACTGCATTACTCTCTCTCGGGGAGAAACTCTGAGAAGTTCCACATTGACCCGCTGCGGGGAGCTATTATGGCAGCCGGGCCGTTAAACGGAGCTGCGGAGGTGACATTCTCTGTCCATGTGAAAGACGGTGGCCCGTTCCCAAAGACAGATTCCACAACAGTGACTGTTCGCTTTGTGAACAAGGCAGATTTCCCCAAAGTCAGAGCCAAAGAACACACTTTCATGTTTCCTGAGAACCAGCCAGTGGGCACTCACGTCACCACTGTTACAGGGTCTTCCATGAGAGGAGAACCTTTGTCCTATTATATTGCAAGCGGGAACCTTGGCAACACGTTCCAGATTGATCAGTTAACAGGGCAGGTGTCCATAAGTCAGCCTCTGGACTTTGAAAAGATGCAGAAGTATGTTGTATGGATAGAGGCCAGAGACGGAGGTTTCCCTCCTTTCTCCTCGTATGAGAAACTTGACATAGCCGTATTAGATGTCAACGACAATGCCCCGATTTTTAAGGAAGATCCATTTGTATCTGAAATATTGGAAAATCTTTCCCCTCGAAAAATACTTACTGTCTCAGCCACAGACAAGGACAGTGGACCCAATGGACAGTTAGATTATGAAATTGTCAGTGGCAACAAGGAACACAGTTTCAGCATCAATCGCACCACTGGTGAAATTAGAAGCATTTGGCCTCTAGACAGGGAAAAGGTATCTCAGTATGTGCTCACCATAAAGTCCTCGGACAAAGGCTCCCCTTCACAGAGCAGCTCGGTGAAAGTCATCATTCACATTTTAGATGAAAATGATAATGCCCCTAGGTTCTCTCAGATCTTCAGTGCCCATGTTCCTGAAAACTCCCCGTTGGGATTCACTGTTACACGTGTCACGACTTCTGATGAAGATGTTGGTGTAAATGCAATTAGTAGATATGCTATAATGGACACAAGTCTTCCATTCACCATTAATCCCAGCACAGGGGATATTGTCATTAGTAGGCCTTTAAATAGAGAAGATACAGACCGTTACAGAATCCGAGTTTCAGCACATGATTCCGGGTGGACTGTAAGTACAGACGTCACGATATTTGTGACAGATGTCAATGACAATGCTCCCAGATTTAGTAGACCCTCCTATTATTTAGATTGCCCTGAACTTGCAGAAATCGGCTCCAAAGTGACTCAGGTGTCTGCAACCGATCCCGACGAGGGGTCAAATGGACAAGTGGTTTATTTTATAAAATCTCAATCAGAGTATTTCAGGATTAATGCCACCACAGGAGAGATTTTCAATAAACAGATCTTGAAATACCAAAACGTCAGTGGCTTCAGTAATGTGAACATCAACAGACACAGTTTTATAGTGACATCTTCAGATAGAGGTAATCCTTCCCTACTTAGTGAGACAACCGTTACCATCAACATAGTGGACAGTAATGACAATGCACCCCAGTTTCTTAAGAGTAAATATTTCACCCCAGTCACCAAAAACGTGAAAGTTGGTACAAAGTTAATCAAAGTTACTGCAGTAGATGATAAAGATTTCGGACTGAATTCCGAAGTGGAGTATTTCGTTTCTAGTGAAAATCATTTGGGGAAATTTACGTTGGACAACAGCACAGGGTGGATTTCAGTGGCATCTTCCCTCATCTCTGACTTGAATCAAAACTTTTTGATCACTGTCACTGCAAAGGATAAAGGAAACCCTCCACTTTCATCCCAGGCCACTGTTCAAATCATTGTCACTGAGGAGAACTACCATACCCCGGAATTCTCTCAAAGCCACATGAGTGCCACCATCCCTGAAAGCCACAGCGTCGGGGCCATTGTCAGGACGGTTTCTGCGAGAGATAGAGACGCGGCGATGAACGGCCTGATTAGGTACAGCATTTCTTCAGGAAACGAAGAAGGCACGTTTGCCATCAATTCCTCCACCGGTGTGTTGACACTAGCCAGAGCTCTTGACTACGAGCTATGCCAGAAACATGAAATGACTGTTAGTGCTACCGATGGCGGATGGGTGGCAAGGACTGGTTACTGCAGTGTGACGGTTAATGTGCTTGATGTGAATGACAATTCTCCAGTATTCCTCCCCGAGGAATATTTCCCCACTGTTTTGGAAAATGCCCCAAGCGGGACCACAGTCATCCACCTAAATGCAACAGATGCTGACTCTGGCACCAATGCTGTGATTGCCTACACTGTGCAGTCCTCTGACAGTGACCTCTTTGTCATTGACCCCAACACGGGAGTCCTCACCACTCAAGGCTTCTTGGATTTTGAAACCAAGCAGAGCTACCACCTCACTGTGAAAGCTTTCAATGTCCCCGATGAAGAAAGGTGCAGTTTTGCCACGGTTAATATACAGTTGAAAGGGACAAATGAATATGTGCCTCGTTTTGTTTCCAAACTTTACTATTTTGAAATCTCAGAAGCAGCTTCTAGAGGTACGATTGTCGGAGAAGTGTTTGCCAGTGACCGGGATTTGGGCGCCGATGGGGAGGTACACTACTTGATTTTTGGTAACAGTAGGAAGAAGGGTTTCCAAATCAATAAGAAGACTGGACAGATTTATGTTTCTGGAATTCTTGACAGAGAAAAAGAAGAAAGGGTGTCTTTGAAGGTACTGGCCAAGAATTTTGGCAGCATTAGGGGTGCAGACATAGATGAGGTCACCGTAAATATCACCGTGCTCGATGCCAATGACCCACCCATTTTTAGTTTGAGCACCTACAGCGTTCAGATCAGCGAAGGGGTCCCGACAGGAACTCATGTGACCTTTGTCAGTGCCTTTGACTCAGACTCTGTCCCCAGCTGGAGCAGGTTCTCTTACTTCATCGGGTCAGGGAATGAAAATGGTGCCTTTTCCATCAACCCACAGACAGGACAGATCACCGTAACTGCAGAATTAGATCGAGAAACCCTCCCCATCTACAATCTCACAGTGCTGGCTGTTGATTCGGGGACACCCTCAGCTACAGGAAGTGCCTCTTTATTAGTCACCCTGGAAGATATAAACGACAATGGGCCGGTGCTGACCATCAGCGAAGGAGAAGTTATGGAAAACAAACGCCCAGGAACTCTGGTGATGACCCTTCAGTCCACCGACCCTGATCTCCCTCCAAATCAAGGCCCCTTTACCTATTACTTGCTGAGCACGGGTCCTGCCACCAATTATTTTAGTCTGAACACTGCTGGAGTCCTGAGCACCACCAGAGAGATTGACAGAGAGCAGATCGCAGACTTCTACCTGTCGGTGGTTACGAGGGATTCGGGTGTTCCTCAGATGTCTTCCACGGGAACTGTGCACATCACCGTGATAGACCAAAATGACAACCCTTCACAGTCTCGGACGGTGGAGATATTTGTTAACTATTACGGCAACTTATTCCCTGGTGGGATTTTGGGCTCTGTGAAGCCGCAGGATCCGGACGTGTTGGACACGTTCCACTGCTCCCTTACCTCGGGGGTGACGAGCCTCTTCAGTGTTCCCAGGGGCACTTGTGACCTGAACTCCCAGCCGAGGTCCACGGATGGCACGTTCGATCTGACCGTCCTCAGCAGTGACGGAGTCCACGGCGCAGTCACCAGCAACATCCGCGTCTTCTTCGCCGGGTTTTCCAACGCCACGATAGACAGCAGCATCCTCCTGCGGCTCAGTGTCCCCACGGTGAGGGACTTCCTCACCAACCACTACCTCCCCTTCCTGCGCATCGCGGGCGCGCAGCTCACGGGCCTGGGCACGGCCGTGCAGCTCTACGGTGCCTACGAGGAGAACAACCGGACGTTCCTCCTGGCGGCCGTGAAGCGGGGCAATAATCAGTATGTGAATCCCAGCGGGGTGGCCACCTTCTTTGAAAGCATCAAGGAGATCCTCCTGCGGCAGAGCGGGGTGAAGGTGGAGTCTGTGGATCACGACTCGTGCGCCCCCGGCCCGTGTCAGAACGGGGGCAGCTGCCTCAGGAGGCTGGCCGTGAGCCCCGCGGTCAGGAGCCACGAGAGCCTGCCCGTCGTCATCGTGGCCAACGAACCGCTGCCGCCCTTCTTGTGCCGGTGTCTGCCGGGCTATGCCGGGAGCTGGTGTGAAACGGACATAGACGAGTGCCTGCCGTCCCCTTGCCACAACGGCGGCACCTGCCACAACCTGGTGGGGGGGTTCTCCTGCAGCTGCACGGATGGCTTCACGGGGAGGGCCTGCGAGAGGGACGTCAACGAGTGCCTGCCTAGTCCTTGCAAGAACGGGGCCATCTGCCAGAACTTCCCAGGGAGCTTCAACTGTGTTTGCAAAACTGGATACACAGGTAGGATTACGTTTGGCCCTTTTCACTAAGACTTTAGCCATGTCAGGTGTGATAGAAAGGAATGAATGTTATCATTTGTAAGTGATTTTCTATTTTAAAAAAAAAAGGGTATAAGCCTAGCAAATGCTTCCAGCATTTCCTATTGGCCAGATACTGTTCTAAGACCTTTATCCGTATTTATTTTATTTACTTCTCGTAAGAAACCTATGTGGTAGGGATAATTATTTTCCAGTTTTTATGGACAAGGAGCCTGAAGTAGAGAGAGAGTTTTCCAAGGTGACCCAGTGAATTTGTTACAGAGTCGGAACATAAGTAACGTTCAATTCCAGAGTTTAAGCTTTTGGGAAGTCACCTAACTCTGCTGGCTTTCCATTTTCCCATCTTTAAAATGGGAATCATCAGACTTACTTATCTCATCTCTTAGGGCTGTTGTAATGAGTAAAAATAATGTTTGTAAAACACTTAGCACCGAGTCCAGCACTCATTAAGCAGCAGTGACAATTAGCAGGATTCATAGTGGTGTTAGTGTAGTAGTGGTGGTAATAGAGGGGAGCCCCAGAATCGCTAAGAGGACAGGAAACCAACAGTACCAGGTAAGTGTGAGTCTTACGAGAGCCGTAGTCTTAGGGTCATGAATAATAGGGCTATATACATATTATGAGTTTAGGATTTCTAAAAAACAAACTTCCTCCCCTCCCCCCCGAATCCCCC